TAGGAGATGAAGTTTCTGTCTGTTGCCCAGGCTGGAGTGCAGTGGTGCAATCATGGCTCACTGCAACCTCAAACTACTGGGCTCAAGCTGTCCTCCCACCTCACGCTTTCTAGTAGCTAAGACTACAGGTACATGGCAATACACTCAGCTAATTTTTCTATATTTTTGTAGAGACAGAGACTTGCTGTTGTCCAGGTTAGCCTCAGACTCCTGGGATCAAGCTGTCATCCAGCCTTGGTTTCTCAAAGTGCTGGAATTAAGATTTAAGCCACTACATGTGGCCATACCTACTTTTAAAAAATGTACTAAAAAAAAAAAAATCAGTATCACAAATTTATAAATTACCACTGTGTTAAATTTGATAAAGCAACTAGCCTTAAGCATTATAATTAAAAAAGAATTTCTAAGAAAGACATAGTATCTTCTTTAAATTTATCAATGAATCTGCTTCATAATACAATCCTTAATAGAATCTGCATACATTTATTTGATGGTAATATCAACTTTTGTTAGTTAAATGAGCTTGATCTTCGACACAATAAAAAAAGCCTCCATTGACCTAGTTAACTTTTTTCCTACAAAGTTCTATAATTAATAAATATATGTGATGTGAGAGAGGTTAGTTATACAATAAAATGATTTCTTTTTTTGTTATGTTTTTCAAGTGCATTTCTAATAAAAAATAAAAATAGAAACAGGACATTCAACATGAAAATAATAGAAAATATTCCCTTTATTTTTCTTGGTTTCTAGTTTAGGCATATCTAAATTCTTTTGAATTCACTCTACTTTGGAAATGGAATTCAAATGTCATGCATGCATGACTTTCTTTTTACTAATTTTTTTCTGGCAAAGAACTTAACCAATTTTTTTTTTTTTTTTTGAGTTGGAGTCTCACTCTGTCGCCCAGACTGGAGTGCAGTGGCCGCTCCCGGCCACCGCAGCCTCGACCTGCTGGGCTCCGGCGATCCTTCCGCCTCAGCCTTCCAAGTAGCCGGAACTACAGGCGCGCGCTGCCACGCCCGGCTCATTTTTTGATTTGTTGTAGAGACGAGGTCTCGCCAAGTTGCCCGGGCGGGTCTCGAGCCCACAGGCTGGCAATCCACTTGCCTCCGCCTCCCAAAATGTTGGGATTACAGGCTGAATCACCGAGCCCGGCCGATTTTCTTTCAAGTCAAGAAAATATATTAAATCAGAGAACCATATTGTTGCAGTTTACACTGATATTTAAATTCACCTGAACTCTGCTGTTATATGTAGTTTAGACTTTCATAGAAGTCCAATCTTTTTGCCATAGCATCATACTATCTTAGATAGACGGCACCTAAAATAGAAATGTCTGTAATTCTAAAAGCAATTGTCGTTGAAAGAGGAACTGTCACACAGCTGGGCAGTACAAATATGTTTTAGAAGGCTGATTTCGCAAATAATTATCTAAATAAAGTTGCCTACCCTAACTCTGCTTCAAGACACATCAAGTTTTTCCAGAATTGCTAATAATGTAAGCCTAAGAGCAAAAGTCTGCAAAATTAAGTAGAAGCATGCAGGCCATTTCACTCTGTAATGAGTAATCATACAAGCAGACTACATTTATTGGTAATGATTTGTTTAATTAGGAATTTCACAAGCAGTACTTTACATGAGGCTTTCTCCCCTCAAAGTCTAAATTCATTTTGTTGAAAGAATTTGAAACAAATGATCAAACAAGAAATAAAGAGTGCAATTATCTCATAATCATGTCCAAAATTGTACAATGTTAAAGGCAACTATTATGGCTACATATACAATTTTGAAAGAACAAAAAGTAAACTTAATCAACTTTACAAAATTTAGCTGGGCTCGGTGGCTCAGCCTGTAATCCCACGCTTTGGGAGGCTGAGGTGAGTGGATTGCCTGAGCCCGAGGGTTCGAGACCTGCTAGGGCAACTTGGCAAGACCTCGTCTCTACAATAAATGAAAAAAATTAGCCAGGTGTGGTAGCGCGCGCCTGTAGTTCCAGCTACTTGGAAGGCTGGGGCGGAAGGATCGCCGGAGCCCAACAGGTCGAGGCTGCGGTGGCCGGGAGCGACCACTGCACTCCAGCCTGGGCGACAGAGTGAGACTCCAACT